TAATTAGTATTAAAAATATATATGTAATATTATTAATTTTATATATGACTTTTTTAAAAAAAAATCAAATATTCTATTAGTAGAATAAGAAATGTACAAACTTTTTTAGTAAACTTATTATAAATAATTTTTATTATTATATATTAAAATAATAAAATATTATTCAAGTAGTATATTAAATAAAAAAAATAATAAATTAGTATATAAATATAAATAATTATAAATAATATTTTTTTCTTATTATTATTATTTATGTAAAAAATGAATTAGAGTTTTTAATATAATTAAGAAACTTATATTATATTTTTTTAATTATATTAAATTACTCTAATAATAATTCTTTCAAGTTAAATATAAGAAAAATAATAAAAAACTTATCTTTAATACTTATCTTCATTCAAATACTCATATGCATTTTTTATCATAATAATAAAATAATTTATTATAAATTTATCAAAAAGTTAATATAAATCTTATCTCACTAATAATCAATCTTTTTTAGAAAGATATATGTAAAATTTAATAATATCTAAAAAATAAGTTTTACAAATTTTTAATCTCAATTAGTCCAAATATATTCATATCAAGAAAATAAAAACTAAAAGATTTCAAAATATTAACTGCTTTACTAAGTTATAAATTTATGAAACTGAATTTGATCAATAATTTAAAAAAAGAATTATTTTATTTTTTACTCTTTCTTAATCAAGTTTTAAAATATCTTGATATTTTATTTCAAGCAACTTGTATAGCTTAATAACTATTCTTTTTACTAATAGTGATGATAATTATGATGGTAATAATAATATTGATTTTGATTTTGATATTAATATTAGTATTAGTATTAATAATAGTAAGTATGAGTAGAGTATATTTTTATTTCTTTTTCATTCTAACTTTAATGAAAAAAAGAAAATTTTAGTAATGGTAATAAATATGAGTATGATAATTATAATAATAATAATGTTAGTATTTTTAATTTTTATTTTCTTATTGAGAACTTCATTATTATTATTTTTAATTTTCTTTTTGTAATGAATATTTGAGTAGTGATAATAGTTAGTATAAATATGAGTATGATAATTATGATAATGATGATATCAGAGTTTTCAATTTTTATTTTCTTATTATGAACTTTATTATTGTTATTCTCAAATTTTCTTTTTTTTATTTTTATTATCATAACTATAATCATTAAGTACATCTTCATAATTTTTTAATTAGCTTATTAACTCTATACTAACTAATAAAGAAGTGGTATTGTTATCAATAGCTTTATTATTAATATTGTTATTATTAGCTTTGTTATTGACATTATTATTATTAGCTTTATCATGATTTCTTTTCATCAAATTGTAATATTCAAGAAAATTAATTTATTGATAATCTACAGTATATTCTCTATACATGTTTTTAAATTATATAAAATTATTTTTTATTGAGTTATTATTATCATTCTTGAAGTTAATTATAATATTCTCTTTAATAAATTAGGAGTGATATTCTTTCTAATTAAATTAGGAATGATTTTATTATTATTAGAATTCATTTGTGTAATTGTTATTAGAGTTTATTTTCATATATATAATATATGTATTATAAAAGAATAGTAATATATATATATATATATATATATATATATATATATATATGATTTATATATATGTGATTTGAAAAAAAGAAAATTTCAATAGACAGAGTCATAAGTAATTTAAAAAAAATTCATAATAAAATTATTTATTTCCTTTGTTTTAAAAATTTTTTAAGTTTTTGATAGGAAATAATCAAGCAAAATCATAGTAAATTTCCTTTTTAAAGAAATTTGAAACTTTCTATCCTATCTTTAATAAGTATTCAATTATAAAAGAAAATTTTGCTAACAAAGTCTTTTGTAGTTTTTCATATTCATGTGGCCTTTTTGCATATAATTTCTTTTTTAAGAGGAATTAGAAACTAATTAAAGAATAATATAATATATTTACTCAAGTACATTATATTATATTCTAATTACAACTTACAATACATAATGATTTATATACATAATATATAATTTAACTATTGAAGAAAGTTATTGAAGATAATATTATATAATAGAAGTAATGGATATAAATCAGCTACAAACATTCTAAGTCTTACAAATATATCTTTTTTTATAATCTTATAAATGGAAAAAGTCTAAAATAAATTATTGTAACTTTTATATATTAAATTTTTATAAAATAATACTTATCATTATGAGAAATTCACAGATAGAGCCAGCATGATGTGTGTTGAGCAAATATATTATTTAATATTATACTAAACTTTAGATGAAAAAGTTATTCTTTTCACATGCACACACCATAATAATCTCAATTATTGTTTTATATAAAATTTTGTAAAAAAGAAGTCACGCTAAGCAGAAATTGCATTAAACCAAAATTTTTCTGTTTACCAAATTTTTTATAATATATAAATTCAACTTTGTGTAAAATTTAGAAGTTTAAAGTTACTACACACAATTTACACATACTAATTCTTGAAGACTACCATTTTTCTCAACCTACATATAAAGAAAGAGACTATCATACTTGTAATTTTCATGTTTACAATTATAAAATCCATCAATATCATATTTTTATGAAAGATAATGACAATATTAGGTATTATTTTAGATAATTTAATGCAGTGACTGTCAAATATTTTGCATTATTCAAATAACAAATTTAAAAATTTAATAACTTTATGCACATACATTAAAAATTCATAAATTTAAATATATATTATCGGTGAATCTTAAAAAATATATGGAGAATGTCGTCAATTGGTATCCATACTCAAGATCTACTCTGGGATGCGATACAAAAAATTTGGATCGAAATTGATAACGCGTTTTTAATGAAGCTAATTGAAAGTATGGAGGAACGCATTCAAGTTGTAATTAATGCAAAGGGTGGCTATACTAGATGGTAATTAAAATTGGGGGTTAAATTTTCATAAATTTATTTAGTTTAGTGAGTAATTTTGATTTTACTTTTATTTATCAAAACGATCAAAAGAAACGGATCGCTTGATTTGATGTAAAATGTGGTTTATTTTTTTTTAAATGTACGATATGGAAAATAAATATGATACGATGTTTTGTCCATATATAGGCATTATAATGAGCCTATTTATATATTGATTGATATTGTATATGAAACGTTATTAAATCGTGAAATTTATTGTCTGGGTGATGCAATACTTTTGAGCGCCACTGTATGTCTTGCAGGGTGTAGCTTTCAGCAAACTTGACGAGTTGATTTTGTTACACTTCTAATTATTCTGTCTTACGAGGCGAAGATCCATCAATTCAATATATTCAGAATTGTGCCAAACTTTTGGACAAAAAACATATTTATTTATTTGTAAACTTAACTTTATTAATGATGATGCATGCATTTGCTTGAAAAATACGCAATTTTGAAAGAAGAAACGCAGAAGCAAAAATACAGACATTCGAAAAGTAAGCGTATAATTGTAATTAATCTGAACAAAAGGTCAATCGATTATGAAAAAGAATATGCATGCCAGGATTGCCGAGCGTAACCAAATGTACATATTCTATTATTAATTTTCGTAGCACGCCAAAACCATTACAAGCGCATTTATGAATTTCAGAACCTGAATGTTTTAAACTTTGACCAGTGAAGTTCGATTTCGAAGGTTTATTTATTTTATCGAGGATCACTGTGTAGATACACGATTATCTGTTTTTTCTATACTTATTAGAAAAATATTTATTTTTTAGCAACATTATCTAAAGCCGAGAATCCGGGAAAAAATGTACGGTAGAACCAATTGTTGTACTATTAAGGCAGTAGAATGCGTTTCTGTTTGACATTGATATGTTATTATATTTTTCTTAAACATTTACAAGAAGAATTGTCGTTTCAATGGACATGTATATGTCATTCAAATCTGCATTGAACCCATTTTTATATAAAAATGAGGTACTAAAGTTTATGCACACTCCCAGCTTCATTCGGTCTTTTAAGTAATGCCCGATATGAATATCGCGTAATATACTTTTTTTTTAACGTTAAATTAATGAAACACTTTAAAAATAGCTATTGTCAATAATTTAGTACCCTCAAGTTGGTTTGTATCACTTTGATGAATAATTTTAAATTGTCACAGACCCAACACTAAAAGGCCAATCTAACTTAATAAATGAGATTATTATGCAGTGTTCGTTGAAAAAGTTAATTTTCCCGAGGATGATAGCGACAGATTCCCGCCTCTTTGCGTTTTATATTGTATTATGTAATAAACATAATATACAGTGGGAAAAAAACACGCACATCATCCACCTAATAGAAAACTCTTTAGGGAAAAGATTTCATTTCATGCAACCTAATATAATCAAAAATTTCTTTTGCTGAGCAATGTATGGACAACAAGGCTTACGATAACCTAAAATCAATATTGATGTTACATATGTATAACGTGTGTGTGCACCAATCATCATAAAAAAATCACACTAGCGCAAATTACTATAACAAGTTTAACAAGCTGATTTATTACTTGAATTGTAAATTAATATACAAGCCAAGCCAGTTTTTTTCGTGTGCATCATTATTTGACTTTGATCGCTCGTGTTTTTTTCTTTCTCGAACAAATAATTTAATTTCTTTATAGAACCACTAAATGACAAGGATAGATTTTTTCAACACGAAAAAATAAAAAAAGTAAATTATAAACTCTTTGATGTTACATGATCAATGAAAAAAATCGTAATGCATTCACCTAAAATTTTCCGACGACGAAATAGCAGTAGTCATAGCAATATTAGCAATAATAGCAATATTAGCAATAATAGCGATAACAGCAATAGCAGTAGCAATAATGTTAAAAAAAAATTTAACAACAACAACAACAATAATAATAGCAGTAGAGGCAACATTAAAAATTTGAGTAAAAGACTTTCATGGCTTACTTTACGTCGACAACCGGTTAGACGTTCGTCTGCACCGCCAGTCATGACACATAGACAGTCATTGATTGAAATACAGCAACAACGAAGTTCAACACTCTTTGAAATACCCGAAGAATATCATGAATATCATTTAGCACAACAACCACAAGAGCCACGGACACAGACACAGCTAACTCACATACCGATCAACTGCATCCACCAAATTCTAGTATACATTGATTATGATATAAAAACACTTGCCTCTTTAATACTCGTCTCAAGAATATGGGCCGAAGCAGTAATTCCAATAATTTGGGCGAACCCTTTTGACTATCTCAGCAAGTCTGGTATCATTGACACGTATATTAGTTGTCTGGCATTGAGAGAACGGAAAAAGTTGTGGCGAAAAGGATTTCCGGTCGTGACAAAGAAAAGAAAACGACCGACTTTTGATTATTCGGCATATTTAAAAGAATTGAGTCTTGGAACTTTATTTGAAGCAGTTGAAATTTGGCTTTGCGAACAACATAAAGGGTAACTATTTATCCCCCTTCTTTTTTTTTTTTTTTTGGGCAACGACGAACCGTATATATGCTTATTAATACCATGAATAACGAATTTGGTATTATCCAATCAAACAAAAAAGCTGGGCTTCAATCAAAGATGCACCAATTCTCTGGGAAGCAATTTGCAAACTTTTACTTAGTCAACGATCGAACCTTCAATCATTATCACTCGACTGGGGAAGACAATCCATTTGGCAACAATATCCCAAACTGTTAGAAACTAGTTATAAGAATGCATACTTGAAATCATTAAATAAAATCTCACTTCACTATATTCCCGATTGGCAAATGCTATTGAATCTACGTAAATGTGCGCCACAAATAGAAACACTCGAGATTCTCGATTATGCATTATCTCCGTCTCCTAAACGAAACGAAGAGCGAATTTTCGCGGAATTAATGCTGGAATTGAAAGCACTAAAAAACTTCAAATTATTTGGGTATGGTACATTTCCACAAGTAATGCTTTCTTCCCTAAGTGCTCAAATGCATTCGTTGCGCTCCGTTGAGCTAGTTTATGTAAATTTCGACGCAATAAATCTAGATGATGATAACGATCTTGAGGTGGTGGATGGTGGTGGTGGATTATCATCAGCATTCGCAGGATTAGCTAATTGTAAACAAATTGAAGAGATTGTGGTAAGAAATTGTCATTATGCCAAAGAGGAGGATTTAGCTCCATTAGCACAAGCCGAATTTCCCAAACTACGAAAAATCTATATTGACGAATGTGATCCTCCTTGGGACAAAATCATGGCTGCAATGATTGTTAATAATGTCTCTTCGCTAGAAACCCTTCATTATTGTTTGATACGTCCATTTTGGTGGCAACGCCCTTATAGACCACCGTCTGATTTGGCCGGTATCTTGTTGGGTTGGCTACGAAAATTTCCGATTTCTCCGGAAAAGCTGGATGATACTGCACTTGCTTTGTATAGTTGTGAGTCAAGATTGGAAGAATTAAGCCTATTTTGAATCGGACTTTTATTTTGCCTCACGTTAGGGAACGAACATTTTTGGTTTTTTCTTGTTGTTTTGGGATATTTTGTTGTTAGCTCGAATAAGAAGAGAAAACGAACTTTTTATATTCATCTATTTGAATGTTTTAATAATTAAAGTCAGTTTACATTCTTATTGAACACAACAAATTTTCTATTAATTATGGAGAACTTGCTTTGTCTAATGTAAAATAAAAAATTCAAAATTCTCAATTCTTAATTTTCAATATGTTATTAAAATATAATTTTTGTGCAGTTACGAATACAATTTTAATAAAAATATCAAAGATCAAGTTCGACTCGAATGATTTTCTAAATACATGTAATATTATAAATTGATATGCTTCATTAACACTAATTCATGAACCTCTTTCAATGTCTTCTTTTTTACTAATATTATTTCTAGCGCTAGTTGTCCTCGCGCTATCTATTAACATTAATCGACTGATCTTTGCTTTTTATTATTACGTGAGAAAAATGGTATCTTGAGGATTATAAAACAATCCTTGCAAATACATTAGCGTTGTTGTTGAGAGCAAAACTGGTTTGAACTCTTTTTGTTCAAATCTAGAGGGCAAAAAAAAACATTATGTTTCTTACCATGTTTGATTAGCATGGGAATTATGCTGTGGCATTTCCCAAGCTAATATATTTTTTGCATGGCTAGAACCACCATGAGGTGGTGTTGTTCTGTATTCACTTTTGGATGTTTGCTAAATAACGATAACGAAGAAAAAATTTTCTTTAGAAATAGTATTGCACATGTTCCAAAACATTACGTATTCTGCATCATTGATACATGTATAACATACGCCAAATAAACAAATCACACAGTAATACTCGGAAATTTGCATGCGCATAAATCGTGATTTACGAACTCGTAATTCAGGTTATTGTGCAAAACATAGGCATAGTTCTTAAATTACGGATGATAGTTCAATGTTCATTCATAAAATATATATAAACGAGTATATAAAGTAATACATGTAATAGTAATCTTGCAGTTATTTATTTTAAACTATATTAATAAAAAATGTTACATGTATTAAGAAACATACCAACTGCTGAATCTATCCACAATTTTTATCAATGGTAACAAGAGTTAAAGCTAAAAATTTTCCGTATTCAGTATTCTTAAATATACGTTTATCTACGAAAAATAAAAAGCAGCAAATCAACAAAAGGCGGTTTACACCCGTCGTCGCTTGTATATTGATATTAATTTCAATTCCAAATGGAACCCTTTTTTATATTTATTAGTTAAATGATTATGTTGCAAATGAAGATAAAGTAGTTATATTAACTTATTTTCAAAGAAAATCAGGGAGAATATTAGAGTAGTCAAATCTATGCTTAAACAAATATACTTTTGAAATGGTTATAAATTCTAATACCAAGAGTTGTATTATAGCAATAAATATATATTTTATATAATATTATTATAATAATATAAATCTCTTTAATTTCATAATTTTTGGAATTATGATTTTAGACATCACTTTTGAAATCCCAAATGAATATGATTAGTATATTAGTTATTAGAGATTAATAATTTCAAATGTGATATAAATTTTATCTATTTATAATTATTTATATTATTCTTAAATTTTATTTTGAATTATTTTGTACTTTAATATATATTTTGTTCTCTTTTCATTAATTTGCATTTTATATTGCATTATTATTCTTTAATAAATAAAAAATAAAGAGTAAAATGTAAAGTAGTATTTTATTATATCTAAAGATATATTAATCTGAGACTTGAAATAAATACTTAAAATTAGATTTAATTTAAATAATTAAATTCTTTTTATTTTATAATTATATATGAATTTATATTTTGATAATTATTTTTTATTTTTTTATAATAAAAGATCATATTTTATTATATAATAATTATACTTATCAGAAATTTTAAATAATTTAATTTTAATTTTATTAATTAGAAAGATTTATTAACTTTATCTAAATATATATAAAAAATATTTTTCTTATTTTGTAAGTTAGATAATTTGTCAGATAATTGATTATTGTTAAATTCTATAAGTAAAAGTTTTTTTTATTATATAATGTTTTAAAATTAATATAATATTCTTTATTAAGTTATAAATTTTAATTAATAAAAATTTTAATTTTAATACTAACTTTAATTTAATAAAATACTTTATTAATTTAATAAGTTTAATATAATCTTAATTTAAAAATTATCAATTTAAGTTTATATACTTTATTATTAATAAATAATTAAGTATTATAATAATAATAGTATTACCGTAGTAACATAAAATTCCTTAATTTCCTAATCTTTCCTTAGTTATGCAAATTCACATATTTTTATATTTGTTATTTATTTCATAAATATCCCTATTTCTATAGTATATATTATTATCTTTATTATCATATTTCTATTTTTAGATATTATTTAATATTTGAGATCTATATTTTTGTTACTTATAATACAATACTCATGTACATAGTAGAATAGTATAATGAAAGATCATTTTTAATTTGGTGAAACAACTATTTTTAGAATAATGATCACAAATATCTTTTCATGTTCTTTGACATTCTTCCTCATTCTTTTACATCTTTTTACGTCCTTTCACATCTTTCCATATCTTTTTACATCTTTTAACATTCTTTTTCATACTTTAATATTCTTCAACATTCTTTGATGTCTTTTAACATACTTCGATATAATCCATTCATAATAATTATACTATAATATTCTAATTATATTTGTATATTAAATAGTATTAATTAGTAATACTATAATAATTTTTGTATCTGAAAAATATATAAAAGAATCTGCTATCCTAGCTGAAATAAATAGTTTTTGAAAGAATTATTTGGAACATATAAATTATACTAGTACTCTTTTTTGGTTTTGAAGAATTATTTAGAAAATATAATTATTATACTAATATCCTTTCTTTCACTTAGTTTTATTCCTTTGACCATACAAAGTTGATTTGGATTTTTGAATTATAATATTATATTGATTTTTGATTTATTTGATATTGTTTTGAGAGTAGAAGACCTCTACTATAAATAAGCCACCCTTTTATTTTATTTCTTTTATTATTTTTGAGAGTAGATGATCTCTACTATAAATAAGCCATACATTTTTATTTGATTAGTTATTTAGTTTTTGTATTTTTATTTTTATCTTTATTTTAATTATAGTCTTTTTTGATTAATAATTTATACTATTTAATCAGTACAAATCTTGAATTATATTAATTACTAGTGGCTTCACTCAGTCAATCTTTATAATTTCTTTGATTTATTTTATTCTTTCTTTATTTTATTACCTTTTATTAAGACAATATCTATAGATATTGGCACAGACCTTAAAAATCTTTGTCATTATTGAAAGTTATAGTCTAATTCCTTTCTCGTTACCTTTAATTATTTCAGTCTCTTCCAATCTTATATCGTTAGGATGAATTAAAGTGAAAACCCACTTACTAATTTGCTGTAACATATTTTGGTGCCCTCTCTATAGAGAAAAACCCCCTCCATACCTCTTTTTATATTTGTACCCTTTTATATTTCTTATTATACCCTTTTTCTTTCCTTATTCATAATCAATAAATATTTATATCTTGAGTTTTTATGACCAATTATTATTTTTTTTATTGGATTACCTATTAATTTTCATCTTGAAGCACATCAAATCCCTAATTACCCTATCAGAATATCCCCTCAAGATTATTGTTCCTATTGTCATCCCCTTCAATCCAGTTTTACTTTACAATTTTATACATTTTATTTGTTCACAAAATATATTGGAGCAGTATCAATTAATCAAATCACATATCTATTATTTCAAGAATTAATTCAACTTGATTTTACTGAAATACATATAAGCCAATTGAAACAGAGAATAATACAGCTAGTAAATACCTTTCTCTTTGACTGCATCAATATCCAAGAAGAATAACTTGACTTAATTAAACAATTCTATCAGCGATTTATTCACCAAGACTTTACATTTCAACCAAGAACACCATCTATTAATAGTGAAATTGATGAATACTATTTAGAGACCAAAAATTCAGAAGATTCACAAATACCTCCAGAATAACTTGTATTAATCTCAGAACTAGAAGAAACTAGTAACTCTTCAGAAGAAGATAATCAAACTGACTCAGAAGACAATAATCAATCATCAGAAGAAGAAGACAACCAAATAACTCAACAGAATAATGATAACTTGGATAATCTCATCCAAGCTCTTGGAGCACTAGCTAATCGTATGGCTAACCAGAATAATCAGCCTATGGAGAAGATTATAATTTCAATTAGAAAATACCAAGAGAATGACCAAGATCTAACAGAGTGACTCAAAGACTTTAATATCGCCACCCAAGCTAATGGTATCACCAATACCAGAAAAGTACAGTTAGTTAGAGGATACCTAGAAGATGCTGCTACCTTATGATATGATGAAAGAGGAAGAAATAATGCCACCTAACTGACAGTCTGGAGTGATAATAATGATCAACCACATAGTTTCAGTCACCAATTTGCAGCTCATTTCAGAACTTGGGAAAGAATTGACCAATAGCAAGATGAGATTGAAATCTTGCAACAAACTGGTACTGTGGAAGAATACACAGACAAATTCATTAATCTACTTTGTAAAGTAGATCTGGAAAATG